GGAGAGGCCACAACAGTGAGAGGCCCCCCCCGTAACCAAAAAAAAAAAAAAAAAAAAAAAAAAAAAGAAGCGGATATTTATTTTCAAACGCTTTTACAAAAACCTAATTTAATTAGAAAGCATTTTTAACGACAAGAAAATGTGTTAACTTGGTACTAGAAAATAAAACGTAAACATCTCACAAGATTATTAAATTACCCTTGTCATTTAAGATATGTATTTAAAAGGTCTATGGAGTTTACATATTAATCTCAAAAGTAAATCTTTAGGGAAAAAATTGCTAAACTTGAGCCCACGCAACAAAAAATTTTCTTCTTTATATTGTTCAGGGCAATAGTTGATGTTTACTGTTAAAACAGTAAGAAACCTCATGATACTTGCTACTACTACTTGCTACTACTATGGTGTTTATTTTTCAGAATATTGCAATCTTAATAAAGATTGTCTTGCACAAGCATGCTCAACAAATTTCATATGATAGGAAAAGGCTTTGTAATCTCTGTAGTAAGATAAGCACAACAAGATTTTTTGATATGAAGAGAGAAATAAATCCATATCACATGAAAAAAATACATAGGTGACTCAGGCTATACCATGCCCATATATACATACACACAAACAGTGAAAACTAGTTGTATTAAAAACAAATTTTAGTAGAAAAATTCTAGGTGTTACCTATGTAATATGTGTATTATTAAAAGCTTTAAAAATAATTTCTCAAGTTTTTGATTAGACTAGTAAAAATATCCAATGCTTAAACAAGAATTTTAAAGAATTTATATACCTAAGTCTAACTTTCCTCCTAAAACAGTATATTTACTACATGTAAATAATAGCTATGACAAACTAGTTATTGCTAGAAGCAATAAGACAAGTATTTGTAACTACAGGAAGCATTTTTCCCCATAGTGAGAAAAATATCTCATCTACTACTATTTTTACCTAGAGATGGGAATGGGAGAAGGAAGGAATTCACTATATACATTCTTACCAGGACTAAGGCCAAGCTCCCTCATTAAATCAGGGTTACAAGCACAGAATCTATGTGAGAACTTTGTTATAAGTGTTTCAAGATACTCTCCGCGCTCTTCAGGGGCATGGATGTGACGAAAAAATTCTCTCAGTGCATTGGGCAAGAACTGATTTCTAAAATTATGCAGTGTTACAAGGTCATCCAAGACATCTCTCCTAGTAGAAAAAAAGGTACAGCTTTAGTTAACTTTTCTCTATTAAAAAAATGATGGGAAAAATCACAGATTATTCATTTTTTGGATGAAAATACTTGGTTGATTACCACATCAGCAATCCTATAAAGTATATGTGTCTTAAAATTTAAAACATCAAAGTATGATTATTTATAAAATTAAGCAATTTAAAAATCTTTCATGAATAGAATAACAAAACAAGGTGAAACTAGAAATTCTAACTATAAAATGAATTTTTCAATATTAAAAATGGTAACTTTTTTCAAGTATCTTCTTGGCTAAATCCAAATGACAGACAGAATTCTTTATTTTTTTAATTATGAAAATAAGGAGAATCTTCACTTTCCATACCAATCCATATCACCAGAGGTAACAACTGTTTATATAGACTTTTTTTAAGTGTCTACATATACCCTATATTGTTCTAGAATTTGCTTTTGCTTGTTTCATACAGTGTATTGTGAGCAGCTTTCTGTGTCTTTACACAAAGATCTAACTCTTTCATTTAAATGGCTCCACAGTAGTGTATCTTATGGATATAAGAATTCTAATGATATACATTTAGGTTGTTTACAATTTTATAAATATTTGTGTACATATGTGCATATATACTTATTTTTTTATCAATAGCGTTCTAATAGTCACACTTTGTTATAATATGCTTCAATCCTTACTGAACTTGACCGTGATTATATGACCATGATTATAGAAATCTTAATTTCTACCAGTTGCTTATGGCAGGGATAGGCAAACTACAGCTAGCGGGCCAAATACTACAGCCCACTGCCTGTTTTTATAAATAAAGTTTTACTAGAACACGGCTATACTCACTTGTTTACTTATTGTCTATGTCTGCTTTCATGACATAATGGCATGTGTTATAAGTAGCTGCAATAGAGAGCATATGTCCTTCAAAGCCTAAAATATTCACAGAAATATCTGGTTCTTTAAAGAAAAACTGCTGATCCCTAGGTACCTAGCATTTAAGGACAAAAAGAGTTAATGACACTGTGTTTACGTAAGAAATTTCTTTCAATGACCGATATGCTGAACTATAAACCCCTCAAGGACAGGGATTATGTTTTAATCAACTGCATACTGCTACTTCTAGCAAAGTTCCTGGAATATAATAAATACAAATTGTTGCTGACAAATCCTGAGAAATAAAAAAAAAAAAGAGAATTACAATGAAAAGACAAACACATTTTTGAGCCATTCTTTAGATTTCTATGAGATCTATAATTTTTAAAACGGTAGTTTGGTGATGTCACATCAAAATATTTTCACAATATTTTTCTGTCTGTTGATACCCAGAATTCAAGAGTACAAATGAATGACTATCAAGTCAAAACAGCATACGAGGCACTGTCTCTGTAAAGCATACTATTAAATCACACTTCCAGAATTTTCAAGCTTTTACATGATACTTTTGTGCAGTATGATGCAAATATACACATCTTATACGATTTGTGTTTATGAGTACTATTTGTCCATTTGATTTGTATATGGACAATTTCAAAATTCAGAACTTTTAGTTACCAGACACTTAGATTTTATGTCTAGTTTTGGTCTGCTATCACAAAGATGTTGGACTTCCATTTTGTGTCTGTGCTTGGGCTTTATTTTTTACATTTACAATGGTAAATTCCTCATCAGCTTGCAAGAGAAATGATTTGCAAGGCATAGGAATCTTTTTCCTGTCTTCACCCAATTTTGCAACTAGATGAATGCTACATAGCACAGTTTTTAAGGTAAAACTTAACTCATTAAAAGCATTATTTAACTCATGTCTGATGAAAAATTAATTTTTTTTACCTTTCATCAAGATAGATTCTGAGTTTTTTCCAATTTAGTGTTCTTGTACAGAAGATAAACTTTGCTATTTCCTTTGGTGAATCATCTAGGATGCCCTTGGACATAAAGTAGTTCACTCCCTAAGACAGAAAGACAAGTCTACATAAATAAAATCAGTCTTCCTTTGTAAATTTAACAATTAGGCAATAGCAGAACAATAGCTATAGATTCTTTCCAGCATTAATAGACTGTTTATAGCTTTAACATGCAAAATACAAGCTAGAACTTGAACTGAAACTGTTATTTGTGGTTGATAGTTTACATGCAATGAAAAGTAGGAAATTCAAAGTTAAGACTTCTAAGGATGTCCTAATTCAATTTTCTGGCTCAGGTCAGTTAAAACTAACTATCCAGAAATATGACCTAAATTGTGGGTGGGGGGAGTGGGGAAGAACAATTACACAGACTTCAAGAATAAGCCTTACAACAAACACTTCAATTGCCTAATGGAAAACATGATTTCTAAAGCTCAGACACATATTCTAACACACTTCTCAAGGAAATAGCTTCTTGAGAAAACAGCACTCTCCAAATCAAAGACTAACAGGTTTTTCCTGGAAAGAATAATCATTAAATTTACTTAAAGTAAAAGGTGCAGAGTTCCAGACTGGTTTATGGGTTGTACACACTTTGGCTTCAAGCATTGCTATCAATACATTCTGTAAGAATTTAGCTCCAATACACACTAAGGTTAAACATAATAAGACAAAACAATTTCAGTGTTTTTCATAGGGTTTATCTTTGAATTTCCTTTTCTCTGCATGCAAAGTTTTCCAGAGAAGCATTACCCGTAAGGTTGTACCCTACTTTAGATTTAAACCACCAACAACAAAATAGCAACAAAAAAATCAAACACTGAAACCAATGTTCTCTCATGTATATGAAGGTCACATTCAAATAAATGCCTTATGTGGATTTGAATGTGCAGTTATTGAAATAAAAGCAGGTGTGTTTATTTCAACTCACAGTTATCCAGATACATGCATTCCCATGAATGCTCATGTCTGGATAATAGCACAATGTGTGCAGTTAATTGGTAGAGAAAATGACATATTATATACACACAACATACTGTTTTCACACATAAATTCCTTCCGCATTTCTTCCCTTTACAAACACTTACATAGTGATCAGAAATACTGCATACATTAGGAATTCAAAAAATTGGAAGAATTTTTATAAAAACTCTCAGGAGAAAAACTCTCATAAAATTTTTATATTACATTTTTTAAGCAATTTGGTACCATGAGGTTATGCTTTTGAAAGGTTATAATTATCTATAAAATGTAATTCAAAGATAAGATTTTTATATAAAACTAATTTTATGAGGATAACAGGCTATTAGCAATGTTATCAAATTTTCAAAAGAATTTGAAAAGTATAAAAACAATCCTAAAGCACTGATTTTAAAAAGCATATAAAGAGCAGAATGTGAGAACGTGAAACCTTGCCAACTCAGTGGTAAGCCATATTTCAGACTGCACCCTGGATACAAGGCTAGAGCACGTAACACGATCAAGATGAAAAGCCAAAGAACTTGTTTGGAATGAGGCTCTCAGCAATTGTCTGAGGGGGCAGGAACGAGAGAAACAGGAATGCTTGTTCCATCCTTTCCTCCATTCGTTTGAACAATCGAGAGTTGACTGTATATTTAATTGATCTACTCTGCAAAATTAAGCCAGGTTTTGATTATTTTTTTCTAAAACTCCTCCATTTAAAAAGCATAACAACATATTAGAAGGATTTCCAGTGCTTAATTTTAATCCAAGTGATTCAAAGACAAAGGAATGTCAATTAAGTAGTAATTAATAGGTTCTTTATTCATGCTTACTTGTAAATCAGTATTTAAGAGACACAAAACTAATACTAACTTACTTTTTAAAAATTTACAAAATGTAAAAAAACACTAATGTGATCTGTTAAATAGCATGTAATTCTCTAATTATATGATATATGCCATTGTTAATATTGTTTGATGCTCCTCAGTCGTAAATTAACACTGGCATTCGCCTTATGCAAGCATCATACAATTGTTGGTCATTTCCTTTTTTTTACGGAATACATGTTTGAGAATTTAATATGTAACCTCACTTGAGTTCTCCAAAATCAATCAGATGCAGAGGAGTAAGCAGATGGTTTTCAACCCAGTCCTGAAAACCAGCTACACAGGCTTGAAATCAGCCAACACTGCTGGTTTTGAGGAAAGACAGCATCAGTTTCAAGCCCGGGATTCCTCTGGAAAGGAAGATTACTTTAGCAGGGCTTTCAGAGTGAAGAGTAAGGGATGACAAAACAGAAAAGGACATGGGACCAGATTATAATTGTCTTCAATAAGCAAGCTGGCAACCATCCGAATTCCTATCTTGTTTTGTAAGCAATAAAATACGAAAGAAACCATAGCATGAGATCTGTTGAATAACTACGTATTTGTTTAATACGTGTACGAGTATTTTTGATTTTTAATAATGTTTTATAAGAATGGTACAGAGGAATCCCTAGATCATATAGCATTAATTATAGTTATTAATCAGGACTAAAACTCTCAACAGTATACGTGTGTGTTTCTGTGTGTGTACGTGTGTGCATGCGCGCGTGTCTCACAGGCAGAGAGGAAATCATGAACATTAATATTAGCCTATATTAACATAGTTTCCAGAAAAAGGAAGGTTTTTAGCTCATTATCATCTACATGATTCACCAAAAAGTGTCCAATTCTGGATGTCACATTTTAAGGGGCATACTGACTAATTAGAACTATCTGAATAAAGGAAACCAGGGCCTGATTGGATTGTTGGAGGGTCTAGACTTCATGTTATGCAAGGAAGAGTTGACGGATACAGGGATATTAGGTCTAAAGATGAAGCTATTTAGAAAAGAAGAAAAGATTAAGGCATTAAGACATCTGAAAAGATTAAGACTTATGACATCTGTGTCACAAGGAAAAAGGAATAAACACTGTGTGTGGTTTGAGTGAAGACCTTAAGCTGATGAAAGCTATGGAACGTCTTCCCCAAATAATGCACACTGCCAGGTTTACAGTGATAGACACAAGTATAAGAGTTTTGCTTTAAGAAACTTTTTTTTTTTTTTTTTTTTTTGCGATATGTGGGCCTCTCACTGTCGTGGCCTTTCCCGTTGCCGGACGCGCAAGCTCAGCAGCCACGGCTCACGGGCCCAGCCGCTCCGCGGCATGCGGGATCCTCCCAGACCGGGGCACGACCCCACGTCCCCTGCATCGGCAGGCAGACTCTCAACCACTGCGCCACCAGGGAGGCCCAAGAAACTTTTAAAAGAATGTCTTTCAAGAGGTCCCTTTCCACAGAGTTATGGGAACTCAAGTCCAAGTAGAAAGCTAGGGGACAAGCAAGGTAAGGAAACTGAGTACAGCCAACTCACTTGAAACATGTATTCGTATACAGGAGGGAAAAAATGGCAAAATTAAAGCGCAAAAAGATAAGAAAGAAGATAATTGGAGCTGCAAGTAGAGAAGAGGAGAGCAGGGGAAAGGAATGAAAACACAGGTGGGGTCTAACATGCTTTCTCAGCCTGGAAGACAGGATAGCGGTACTGGTTTGGAGACAGGTGCATGAAGAAAATGTTAAAAGACAAAAACAGAGTGCATGTTGGTTTTCTTTTCAGGGAGGACGAGCCATCTGGGGAGAGTTGAAAAAGAGAGCTGGCTTGGCTCCTTGAGCAAAATGGTAAAAATTTCTACCAACAGTGATGCAGGGTGTTAAAGGGAATACACTAGGAATAAAGAAAAGGAGGGCCAAGCAGCAATGAAAACCCAGGAGAAGTGAAGGTGAATTCATCTCATCTCATGCTAAGGTTTTCTTTACTAGAACACATGCTGTCAGTGATTCAAAGACAAAAAAAATCAAGAAATTCTGTAAAGCATTCTCCATGGATTATGTCACTAAAATTTGTTATGCAAATGACAGCACCAAGACTTAAACACTCCAATTAGAGCGGTAAGCTGTTTAGACACAATGTTTATTTAGGTGGCAAACAAATAATTCAAGAAAACATATGCAAATAGCTAAAGCCAATATTAAGAAGGAATTCAGAGTGAAGAAAAGGATGTGTTGGAGCTCAGTCCCCTACCTAATGTATCTCTTCATTTGCTTACTACCATAAGAATGGCTCCTTTCACACAGCAATTCCTCTTTTAAGATATATCTTTCTTTTCTTTTATTATATAAATACCCATGTTTTTCTCTCCTCTTTTAATAAAGCCTAGTCTTTTGGAATCAAATCATTATTATCCACAGTGTGCTTCAAAAGTAAAATCTACCATATATATGTTCAGAACCAAAAAATATGTATTTGGGGACAAAGTGAATTCTAGTAAACTAGGCATGCAAAGTACTGACTTCTGCTGTGAAGCTGAAACTGCTCTTAATAAAAAAGTCTTAATTTTTTTTTTTTAAAGTGCTGACTACTAGTACTGAAAGTACTGGCAACTGGCCCAGACACTTGGCAGACACACTGTGTAACAGTTGGTATCAATAAAAGAAATCACTAATAAAACAAAACTGACATGCTAGGGAGTACCCTTAATTTGTTTCCCTAAAGAACAACTTAGGAAAGAAATTTAGTTAAAAAAAATTTTGCTTTAGCTAGTTTTGTTCAAATTTGCCATTGTATAAAATATAAAAATCAAGTACCATGGCTACTGCTGTTCAGGTAATAAATCTGCCCTTTGAACATTATACAATAGAAAGCGAACTGGACACTGCATTTAATTTTCTTTTTAAAAGGACATTTGAAAACTTTTAGAATAACTATCCTTAAATTTTAACAATAAATATTTATAAAACAAAATACTTCAATCTAGATTTCTAATCTATTAATATTCAAGTGTACATTTTAACCACAGTGAAATGAACAACTGAAATGTAACATTTTCGTACTAAAAATACTGTAAAAATAAGATACAATATATGTTGTGAAAGCTTTTATTTTAAAATCTTAATTATTTCTAAAAAGTTAGCACATCAGAGTGCAGCCCTCTACAGGTCAGAGTATTCCCATTGTCTTGTGTGAAAATAGCAGCAGCAGTGGTTAAGATGACATCTCT